TGCTAACCACCAATTACTAAATATCGATGTTGCTTCTCGTACAGATGGTAGAATTATGACGATGAACAAACCCATAATAATACCAACACCAGCTTTTAAATATACAATATACACATACCATTTGACTGCACCCTTTTGTTTTGTTTCAACATTTTTCGAAAATGTCAACATTTCTTCATCAACATTCGAACAGGTCGAACTAAGAATTGATTGTTGTTGATGAAGTTCGATAGAATGTTGTTGGTCAAATTGATGAATATCATCAAGTAAACGAGCAAATGATGTTGACGAATCAAGCAAATCAATATAAGTACCAATTTGTACCATTTCACCCTGAAATAACATTTGATAATTCATTCAAAAAACTTCAATCAATTACAAAATGATACATTATTAAGTACAATAATTTTTGTTGCATCTTGCAAGAATTGAATTTGATGTGTAACCAATATACAAATCTTATTAGCAAGATAATTTTTGATAGATCTATGAGAAAAGATTCATTGCTAAATTTCAATATTATATAAAATTGATTTACCTTTGAAAGAGATGTTTAGCTACTTTGACATCAACAGCAGATAAAGGATCATCCAGAAGATAGATATCTGCGTTACGATAGAGTGCTCGAGCCATATTAACACGTGCCTTTTGACCCTACATGATTATCAGCTTATCATCTTAGATGTATATCAAATAATGTGTTACTCACTCCAGACAACATAACACCTTGATCACCAACAAGAGTATTTTCCCCATTAGGTAATTGAGCAAAATCCTATTTATTATAAATGTATACATGTCAAATATTCAATTCTACATACTATATCGAGTGCAGTTGCTTTAACAACATTTCGAAATAAATTATGATCATATGCTTTGCCGAAGAGAATATTTGTTTTAATAGTTGAAGAAAATATCCCTAATTCAATCAAAGAGAACAAATTTTCTTCTATTAATTGATATTACTTACATGACTCTTGTGGTACATAACAGAATGAACCATGCATTCGAACTTTTCCATCGAAAATTGCAATTTCACCAGTGAGTGTTTGCAAAAGTGAACTCTATATATATGAACATTCATGAATATCAATTTTTGACAAAATAAACAGACCTTTCCAGATCCGACAGGTCCAATGATACAGATCAAATTACCTGGATGAGCATCGAATACAATGTTTTTAAGACAGAATGATCCATTCTAAATAGTAGAATATCAATTTCAGTTCAACGATTCAAGTTGCAGATAATTCAAAAGTCAAAAGTATTGTTTCATTCATTCATATTTGTAGTAGTTTAAACAGCTAAACTTTTTTTTTGATGGATTTTCTTATGTAAGAAAAATTAGAGCAGAAATTTGGATCGATCTTAACATATATAAAAATTGACTACATTATTCCTTAGTGCATATGAATTGTGCGTTTTCTATTGAGCTAAATTTGTAAAGTATTAAAAAAATTTCTTCATCTAAGTTTCCATTTGATAGAAATTCTACATCCTTTTGTACTATATTAAATATCAAGATCTGACTAATAAAAGACTCTTCATAAGATGTCGTGCAAATCATTGTAAAGCTTAGCAAAGTGTAGGATGAACAAATCTGTAACATTTTTAGAAACTTCTAGACGGAAAACTCTCTCCTGTTTTTTATTGTCTTACACAGAAGTATACCTTTTCCCACTGTGCTCGTTTCAAATTGCATATAACTTTTGGTGATTGTGTTTGAATATTTTTCGCTATTGTCGGTTCAATTTTTTCGATACACGCAAGTTCTGAATGTGATCGAGACAATAATCGATTGTCTCGTTCGGATTCGTCAAGTAAAAGAAATGTCTATAATAAATACTATTTCATAACATTCATCGATAAAAGTACAAAAATTGACCTGTATCCTTTTTTGAGCAGCCATATAATGAACAAGACTTCTCACAG